TTCTGGCTTGATGTACTTCCTCTCTGGACTTGAGTCTTTAGTTTTGGGTGCTGGAATCTGATCTCCAAGTCCTTGCATGATCTCCTCAACCTTTTCTTTAACTTCATCAAGAGCATAAACTACTTTGTCCATGGTTGAGTCAAGCTCTTCGGTTTTGTCGATGACTTTGTACACCTTCTCTGAAACTTCGACTGTAAAGTCATAAGACTCATTCTTAGCTTCGTTTAAGGCCTTGTCCACGTCATCGAGTTTGAAATCCAGGTCCATGACTTTGTTTTTGGTGTTGCGAAGCTCATAGTTGTGCTTTGCTTGCTCTTCCTCCATGCTGTTGAACCTGTTAGCAATCATAGCTGCATCCTTGGTTGCACGTTCTTCTATTGAATTGACTTGTGAGGCTAGGTTATCGATTTTTTCATTAAAAATTTTCGATATCCCATCAATCCTTTCGTTTAGAGCAGTTGTAGCGGTTGCTTGAGCTTCTATGAACTGCCTGATCACGCCTTCGAGCTGACTCAGTCTGTTGCTGAGCTGGACGTTCTCATCTTTCTGGAGAACTTGGAGGTAGGTGATACATAGAGTATTAGGGTTTGCCATTTGAGGTGCGTAGGGCTCCTTCTGGAACGTTCTATAGTCTTCGGGTTGAGTTTCTTCGTAGATATCGCGTAGATGCTTCTCTCTGCGTCTGGTGGCTTGAGGAGTGTTATAGAAACCTTCCTCATAGTGTATATTTCGATTTATAGGATCCATATCTTCTGAAATGGAAACAAAATAACCGAAAAATGGAAAATTGCAGAAAAGGGGGTTCTAGAGTCGATTTACTAACCTTTCTCGGGGTTTTGCAGAAAAGAAAACGCGTGCCTTCCCCAGCAACGGCGCCAAAAACTTGATGGTGTGACTTGATGTGGTGTGTGTCGAGGGTTGTCAAATTTTACCCTAATTGAAATCAATAGCCGCAAGTGCACAGCTGATCGATTGTAGTACTTAGGGATCGAATCCACAGGGAAGGAGGATCTTTTCCTGCAAAAAGCCTTTGAAATAAGTTAAAGTAAGGAAGTCTAGAACAAAAACGGTTTTGTGGGGGTTTGGTAGTGTGTTTAAAATGTAAAAAAAAAACGAAATATTAAAAGAGAATACGAGAATTAAATAACGTAATAACTAAACTTAACGAAAATGACTAAAAATGAGAAAAACGGATATTCTAATTGCTTAAATGAAAATCTACTAAAAAGGAAAGACAATATTGAACTAAAGCTTGAAATAAAAACGGTGTAAATCAATAAGAAAGAAGGCGTTGGGGTTCAGGGAAGTTTTCTCAGGGGTACGAACGATTCAAAACATTGCTAGAGAGGAAATTTGATAAGATCTTAGCTTAAACTTTTCGAACTTGAGTCAGGGACGTATGAATACGCCACTGTCGTGATCATAGACAACTATCTCTCTCAACCCTGACCAGTAGGTTTCCACTCTGGTCCTGGAAGAGAAGAGATGCATTATGTTTAAGACTCGTCCTAATTCACAATTCGCCCATCGGTAGGTTTCCACTCCTATGTTTGTTTTGCTCTCCCAAACTAGATCTGATACCTGATGAACACTTTCGTGTCACCAAGCATCTGGATCAGATTGTAGTTCATGACGCTACTCTCATGCAGTAAAAACGAAATCAGAAGAAAAAGTTCTAAGATTCGGCTCAAAAGCTCATGGAATCCTCATCAAACATATAAATCCCCATCGAAAATCCCTTAATCCCAACAATAAAACTACTCAGACATAATGAACGAAATCAAAAGCATAGTATTAAGAAGTAGAATAGAAACCGAAATTGAAAAAGAAAGAACAAGGGTTCAAGAGAACAAATCTCTCTCTCCCTAAAAGCTAAAGCAAAAAAAATAAAAGTATGAAGTAAATAATTCGGTTCTCTAAGGTTGCACGATTTCTAGGGCTCCTAAGACATGTATTTATAGTGCTCAAGACCTCTCTGGACGTCACTTAGGGTTTCTCCAAATGTGGGCTTCAGAAATGGGCTTTTTGGGCTCGGAGGTTGATGGCCGCGGTCGGGAGTGCTCTGACCGCGGGGAATGAGTGGTTTGCCGCGGTCGGGATGCTCCTGACCGCGGGAAATTGCTTGTTGGCCGCGGGTGGAAGTGCTTGCCGGCTGGTTTACGGGACATCTTGCTCTTCGTGTATCTTTTGATTGAACCGTTGGATTGCCAAGCTGTAAAGTGCACTGGAAAGCTGATACTTCCATCTTTAAGGTCTCCAAATTTGAGCTGGATCAGACAGTCAGAAGGCCTTCAATCAGGGGTGAACTTCTGACGGTTTGACGCTGAGCTGAAATCTGGTTTTCTATACATTTTGTTAAGCTTTTCCCTAAGTTACCTGAAAAGAGTCTTGGAACTACAAATACTAGAAAAACGTGATAAAAGTACTTAAAAGCAATTAAAAACATAGAAAAAGTATTTCAAAACGATCCATAAAAGTGGTCAAAATACGGTGTTATCAATAGTCGTCTGGCGGCTTCAACCTCCGAGGTTTAGACCTCCAGCGACTTCATGCCTCCCCGGCAATGGCGCCAAAAACTTGATGGGCTTGCGGGCCTAGGGTTGTTTTTTTACAAGTCTGTTGGTCCTCCAAAAGTTTTAAATTTATAAAACCCTAGTGTCTGCAAGTGCACAGATGTACGTTGTAGGACTTACGGTGTCGATCCACAAGGAGTAATTGGGAAGTAAGCAAACTTATAAAACAATAACAGAATTGGGGTTTTTGGTTAAGATCCGAAGCTCAGAGTTAGGGTTTCTTCTTGGATAATCCATGCTTCAAAAGTTTCTGAAACTAGGGCAAACAAAAGAAATAATAAGCAGAAAAAGAAAAAGTTAGGGTGTTTATGAATTTGGTTTACTTCCTATGTTGCTTTGGCAGAAACTCGACATATATATAGTCGTCTGCGGCTTCAACCTCCAAGGTTTAGACCTCCAGCGACTTCATGCCTCCCCGGCAACGGCGCCAAAAACTTGATGGGCTTGCGGGCCTAGGGTAGTTTTTTTACAAGTCTGTTGGTCCTCCAAAAGTTTTAAATTTATAAAACCTTAGTGTCTGCAAGTGCACAGATGTACGTTGTAGGACTTAGGGTGTCGATCCACAGGGAGTAATTGGGAAGTAAGCAAACTCATAAACCAATAAAAGAATTGGGGTTTTTGGTTAAGATCCTAAGCTAAACCTAATCTAATATTCACAAGAGATACAATGCGGGATGAATTGTTAAAAGAACATCTAAAGCATATCGACTCAAACTAAAGACTCTTAAACTCATAGGTGACGATTTAGACTTCTCCGGTTTACTCTAATTGATGCATGGTGGCATTTCACACTTGCTTCCGGGCGATTTATCTTCATCTGTTTCTGGGAATCTGCATTGAACTAGAATAGACACATGTATGATTAACCAACTGTCGTCACCTTAATAAACTAATCTCTTAGATATAGCAATTAACTCTCGCTCTCATGCTAAACTTAAGATCATGCTATGAACACTGAATTCGTCTGCTCACATCTTCTCTATAGGTAGCTTTCGACTCCTATAGCGACTATGATCTTCTGAAGCTAGATATGGATGATCTGATACAGCACTCTCGTGGCTCTGATCGATCCTAGGCTCAGAGAATAGGTCATTAATCTACTCTCATGCTTTACGAATAACTTAGAAGGGATGAGATCCAGAATATGGCTAAGAACAATAGAAATCCTAATCGATATATGTGCTTGTCGATATCTTCAAACAACCTGACTCTCTAGGAGTAATCTACATGATGCAATGAATGATAAAAGACATAGAAGAATGCAAAAGAATGAAACAAAATATTTAATAAGATAAAAAAGAGGAAGAACAATGTATCTGGGGAAGAATCCCCATCTCCATCGCCTAACCCTAGAAAAAAAAAGTTTGGTGGCTCAAAATCTCATTACAGGAGCACACACCCGTTTAGGGCTACTAAACAATGTATTTATAGGTTCTAAGGTCTTCCAGATCTCATTTAGGGCTTCTATGAAGAGAAATGGCGAAGTGGGCTTTGATGTTGGGCATTGTGGCTCGTCCTAAGTTCCACCGGGGGTGAAAGTCTTCCAGGACAGGTAAAACATGTGTTGCCGCGGGTGAGAGTCTTCCGGGACTGATGAACTTGGTCAACTTGTTCTCAATGTATCTTTTGATTGCACCGTTGGATCTTTGTGATGTAAAGTGCTATGGAAAGCTGGTTGTCTCCTCTTGATTGTCTCCAAATTTGAGCTGGATCTGACGGTGAGAAAGTCTTCATTTGAGGCTGAACTTCTAATAGTCTAACTCTGAGTTAAAATTGTGGATTTCTTCCATTTTGCCATCATATTCCGTAAGTTTCCTGAAAAGAGCCTTGAAACTACAAATACATGGAAACCATAATAAAATTTCCTAAAACAAAGTAAAACCTTTGAAAAAGCATTTGAAATAAATGGTGAAAAGTGGTCAAAATCAGGTGTTATCATCTACTCTCTCTCAAGTTTAAACATTTGTTTGCATCCAACTAAAAGTATTGTTATTCTCCTTCTCCAAGACGTAATTGATTTGTTCACCAAAAAGGTTAAGAAAACACCGAAACAAACATTCCAACGTAGCTGCTTAATCAACTGACATCCTGTTGTTGTTTGACCAACATCTCTTGTCTAGCATTAATCATTATTTATGATTCCATAAAAGAATGCCATATTTAGAAGGCTAAAAATTTCTCTTTTTTTCGATTAAAAAAAATTGACACCATCCCACAAAACTCTCCCGTCCAGAGCAGATTTGTTCATTTGTAGAAATTGCAACAAGACGGTAACCAAAAAAAACTGAAACCAGGAAATTAAAGACAGGGGAGCGAAGACGAAAAAGAGCCAGAAATAAAACTTAATAAGGATTGATATTTCCTTTTAACCTCCCTGCCTTGGTCTCCTTCTAAGGCAGAGGAGATTCATTTCTTTCTCTCCCCTAAGCGAAATTCTCAGAATATAAAATAAAAGGTGAAATGGCGTTTCAAGATTTCGACAAGATCCAAGAACGTGTAAACGCCAACAGGAAACGCAAGATCAGGAAGAGGATGATCGTTGGAACAGTCTCTTTGCTTGTAGTTGTTGCTGCCATTATTGGAGGAGCTTTTGCTTATGTTGCATATGAGAAGAAAAACGAACAACAAGCAAAGAACAACAACAAAAACAACGACAACAACGCCAAATATAGTCAGAAAAAGAGCCAGAGCCCTAGCCCAACCCCGAAGGTGCCTGTTTCAGTGGCACAATCAGTGAAACCCGGTCAGACTGATATAATAATTCAAAATCTTTGCAGTTCAACACTGTATAAGCTAAGCTGCGAGAAAACGTTCAAGAACAGAACAGAGAAGAGTTTTTCTTTGGAAAAGCCGACAATCATTTTGCAGTCTGCCATTAAAGCTGTCAATGAAGATCTCGACCGAGTTTTAGAGAAGGTTTTGAGTCTAAAGACCGATAACCAGTTTGATAAAGATGCAATTTCACAATGTAAGTTGCTTGTAGAAGACGCTAAGGAGGAAATTGTCGCATCACTGAACATAGTCAACAACACAGAAATCAACAATTTCTCAAAAATAGTTCCCAGTTTGGACAGTTGGCTAAGCGCGGTGATGTCATATCAGGAAACATGCCTTGACGGGTTTGAGGAAGGTAGTCTAAAATCTGAAGTTAAGAAGAGCGTAAATTCTTCTCAGGTTTTAACCAGCAATTCCCTCGCAATGATTCAATCCTTTGGAGAAAAACTCTCTCCTGTTACAAAGGTCGCAACACGAAATCTACTTGACAAAATCCCAAATTGGGTAAGCAATGAGGATAGAAGAATGTTGAGGGCAGTTGATGTGAAGGCTTTGAATCCTAACGCTACTGTGGCTAAAGATGGCAGTGGAAATTTCACAAGCATTAATGATGCTCTGAAAGCAATGCCTGAGAAATATGAGGGAAGGTACACATACTATATATAGCATTTCATATCGTGACTGTTACGTCACGTTATCTTTGGTTGACTAACTCTTGGTTTCTTTTTAATTCTGAAGGTACATTATCTACGTAAAACAAGGTGTTTATGAAGAATATGTAACTGTTGATAAGAAGAAGGCAAACCTTACTTTGGTTGGAGATGGATCTCAGAAGACGATTGTGGCCGGAAATAAAAGCCACACAAAGAAAGTCCACACTTTTATCACGGCAACATTTGGTAAGTGGGGATAAAATCTAGTATACAGATAAACATATACATTCTTTTTCAATTAAGTTTGAGGTGACCAAACATGAGATATCAGCTAATGGTTTGTGTTAATGTCGTTGACGTGTCACCATTCACCTTCAAACTCGTGTATGTTTTTCTCAAGAAAAAAATATACCGTCATGAATTTTGATGTTTAGATCATATTCATCTTGACATCTACAAAAATATGTCACTGAACATACCTTGAAATTTAAAGTGTCAATGTGAATAAAACTAAATTCTTATATAAATGACTGGTTCCTTAATAGTTGCACAAGGAGAAGGGTTCATGGCACAGTCAATGGGGTTCTGGAATACGGCTGGGCCAGAGGGACATCAAGCTGTCGCAATACGTGTTCAATCTGATCGATCAATTTTTCTCAACTGTCGATTTGAAGGCTACCAAGACACATTGTATGCCTACACGCACCGTCAGTACTACAGAAGTTGTGTGATTGTGGGAACAATTGACTTCATATTTGGAGATGCAGCTGCCATCTTCCAAAACTGTAACATCTATATCAGAAAGGGCATTCCAGGACAAAAGAATACGGTGGCCGTTCAAGGACGTGTCGATCAGTTTCAGACAACTGGTTTTGTGTTCCAAAACTGTAAAATTGCTGCAAACGAACATCTTATGCCTGTCAAGGCAGAGTACAAGAGTTATCTTGGGCGACCCTGGAAGAGATTCTCTCGAACAATTGTAATGGAATCTACAATTGAGGATGTGATCGATCCGGTTGGATGGTTGAGATGGCAAGATACAGATTTTGCGATAGATACATTGTATTATGCGGAGTACAAGAACAAAGGACCATGTGGAGATACAAGTACCAGGGTTAATTGGCCTGGATTTAGGGTCATAAACAAGGACGAAGCTTTGAACTATACTGTTGGACCGTTCTTACAAGGAGATTGGATTAATGCAATAGGTTCTCCCGTTAAGTTTGGTCTTTATGATGCTTGATGAGATTTTGTTGCTTGCTGAGAAGCTAATGGGGTGACTTGTTTTGTATTTAAGGGATTCAGAAATGAATTAAAAATTGCATCCATAAATTGTTTTTTTGGACATATAAGCGATTCAGAACATACTAAGCTAAGAGAATGTGTTTTATCAAACCTATATCGTTTTGTGCTGAATATATTTTTGGAAGGAAGCATATTTAAGGATTATTATTTTAGTCAACATAGCAGAAAATGATATGCTATATTTTAACCTAAATAAACTATTCTACATTAATATGATCATGGATGGAGCTTTAGAAATGGAACTTGAACCAGAACTTGTACCAGTGAATGATGAGCTTGAAGCTGATGAGCCACTAGTTTTACCACATGGACCAATGACCTTAGCCAGACCTAGAAGATTCAAGGAGATAATTGGTGTCATACTTAGTCAGTTGGGAGATTGACTAAATCACTTGGGCAAGGATGGAAAAGATGAATTACAAACCTCACAGGTTTTGATTCACGTCCATGGTGATTAATAAACGGGTAAGTGACCCATTTGCACTCTTTTTCCCTTGTCTTTGTCTTTGGCTTTGTGCCAACTGATTTTTAAAATGAAGCAATGGTTCTCACTTCTACTCAAGCCCAGTTTTTTGATTCAAGACTTAAGCCCAGCAAAAAAAGCAATTTCGAATCTAAGAAGTCTAAGGGGCATGCGTATTAAGATCCAGAGTCATTCAAAGTTGGTCTTAGTCTAAGTGTGATTTTCGAGGTTTTGCTTTGTTTTCTACACTTCTTTTATTTTTTTTCTTTAAAAGTGCTTGTAATCTCATTCAGAATATCATCTTTTGATCAATCAAACTTTTTAGTAATAAAAATCTTCTTCTTCAAAACTTTGAGAGAATTTCATCGGTTCCTTGTAAATAAGTTTAATTGTTTTGAGTATCATCCCTATCAATCAACCCCGGTATATCAGAAGCCATTCCGCAACTTCTTTGTGACCCATGGCTCTAACGCTTTCTTCATTTGTGTCTCACGTATCATTTGAAGCAAATTTATCCATTTTACCACCTTCTGAGTGCCAATCTTAGGAAGATTGTATCAAATGGTATCTGAGCACACTAAGAAGTTCGGAAATTTTATCTCTATATTATCTTCTCAACTTTCACAATCTTTCATTTCTTGTCTTTTTATCTTCTGTGTCGATCCAGTCTTTAAAAAAAAAATCCCAAGAAAAACACTAAAAGAAGCATCAGAATCATAAGCTGGTAGATATATTAGCATATTCAAAAAAAAAAAAAGAAACAAAAATCTCTTAATCTTTCTATCTGTGTTCTGTTCATTTACTTATAATTGCTTGGAGATTTGATCATGAAATTTGATTGATTTTGTTCGATATACTATTGAGAATCTCTGCTTTTTTAGGCCTTTGAGAGTTGACTGAAACACCCTGAGAGTTATAGCACTTGTAAGATAAACACTTTAAGAGATTTTCACTTGTAATCTGTTTGTTAAAATTGTTTGAGGTCGAAATGACAGAAGATGGTGAAGTACCATGATTAATACCATGATAAGTACCATCGAAATAAAAAAATTATTGATAAATACCATGATAGCTCGGATGGATCAGTTAATGACTATCAATTGAAGGAGATTCATCAGAGAATCGATTGAGGCCAAGGAGAACCTCGACCAACAAGGACCTCTCAAAGCTGTGAAGAGGGAAAGGACGACTTTGCTGGCCACAACGAAGCGAACTACATTGGAAGGCAGAACAAGTTTCAGAGATTCAACAACTATGGCAACGATCAGAATCTCTCCTATAAAGAATCCAAATGTTACAAATCCATGAGATCAGGTGTATCCTCCACAACAGCCTCAAAACAAAAGGTATAACAATAGAAATCAGTTCCAAGGAAACTACCAATGGTAGCAGGACTATGCTCAGCAAAGTGTTGCTCCACAAGTTCAAGGCAACACCTCCAACACTCAAGATAGTTTCCAGACTAAGAATTCTTATCCTCCAGGTTTTGGTACAAATCAGGGACAACAAAATTCTTTTATTCCACCTAAGTTTAACCTAACAGGCATGTTTCAACAGATCCTTAACGACCAAAAGGAGATTTGGAAATCTGAGAACAAAGGAGCCTCATCATCTCGGCCACAAGGTTCTCTTCTAGGGAAATCTGTGACAAATATTAAAGAGTATACTAAGGAGTAAAACCTGTGAAAATGGCCAAGAAGATGAGTGTGCTGATCAAGAAGTGAGTAAAGGAGCTAAGAGCAAGGGCATACTAGAAGAAAAGGCGCCTGAGAAGCCTAAGAAAAAGGACACACCATTTGTTCCTCCTTCATACAAACTTATGTCTTCATTTCCAAGGAGGTTTAAGAAGAAGCTAATAGAGAAGTACCGAGATTTGTTTGACAAAAAATGGAGAAAGTGGAAGTTAAAATGCCATTGGTAGATGCATTTCTCTTGGTGCCTCAATACACCAGGTTTCTTAAGGATGCAATGGTGCAGAAAACCAAGGAGCTATAGGGTATGGTTGTGCTATCTCATGAGCCTTATGCCATTCGTATTAACAAGGAAGTTCGGTTTAAAGTGTATAAGCCTTGTAGAATCTCTTTGATCCTTGTTGATAGGTCACTGAGGCACCCTATTGGGCTCCTTGAAGACTTGCCAGTTTGAATTGGTAACTTTCAATTTCCAACTAGGTCTCTTTTTATCTTGATATGGATGAGAAGCCTAAAGATCATTTGATCTTTGGAAGACCCTTCTTGGCAACTTCTGGAGCCATCATTGATGTTAAAAGAGGGAAGATTGATCTCCATTTTCAAGAAGTCCTGAAATTTGACATCATTGAAGTCATGAAGAAACCAACTCTAGAGGGTCAGGTGTTCTACATTGAATCTATGGTAGAATTGGCTGAAGAGTTACTTGAAGAGCTGATTCTGGAGGATCATCTACAAATTGCCTTGACTAAAGAGCATGGAGACCATGGATACTTGCATGGTTGAATTCTCACAACCCTTTGGTGAGTAATGGTTCCTTTCTGGAGCTAGAGTGCAAGGGTTTGGAGGCAAATTCAGTTCAAAATGGGTTAGTTCACTAGTGTATTGCCGTGTATTTGGAATCAGATGAGAACAACAAGGGTTGTTGGGGTCGGATTCCACCCTTCGAGTTTCACTCCCGAAATCGACTAAGTATCCGAAATGGGTTTCACTAAGCTTGGTCGTAGTAGACAAACCGGGCTCAACAAGGGTTTAATCTGAACCTGCCGAGCCGAGAAAAGTAACCTAAACGAACCAGGGTGTGGTTCGGTTTGGCCGAGCCGCATTGGGAAAAGAAGTGGGTCGAGTTGAATTCAGAGGGGAGATGGGGATAAGAAGTTTTCAAGTAATAAAAACCTTTTTCGATCTTGTGTTGTTGTGATTAAACTTTTCCAGTAATAAAACTTCAGATCCCTCTTATTTTCTTAACAAATTCTGATTGTGCATGTTTTGGCTCAAACAATTTCGTATTGTCTATGGGTATAAGAAGTTTTCTGACTCAAAAATCGACAAGACCCTAAGTTTCGAAGAACATGTCAAACAACACTTCTGACGAGTACAACAACAACAACACGGAAAAAGACGCTCCACCGTTGAACACAATGACGAGGTGAAACCCAGGACGAGGTGAAAAGTATGCTAGTCGTGCTAATGAAGAAGATGGAGGAGCAAAATAAAAGGAACGAAGCAATCACAGAGCGGCTCGACGTGATGACGACAGAGATGCAGTATTTGATCCAGAGAGCCTGGATTTATGATCTAACCGATGCGGTAAGAAAACACTTCGATTTCTCCACTTCCGCAAGGGCATCACCATTGCTGCACCCTCTCGACGAACAAACTCCAATGGCGACCAGAGCGTCACCACTGCTGCACCCTCTCGACGAACAACCTCAGCTACGACCAGAGTAAACTTGTTTAGGGTCCAATTTTTAATCCAAGAATAGAGTCTCATGCATGTATTTTAGATAGATTCATTGTGTTTTGATAGACAAGAGTTTTTAAGGCTCTTGAGGGCTATCAATCCCCTTGTCAAAGTAGTATAAGGGGTGTCAATCCAAGAATGTGGAAGCTATACACTAGACTATATGATCTGTTACTTAATTCAAGCAAACAAGGAGGGGTTTGATTCAAAAAGGTGATTAAAAGGAAACTAAACAAGATTAACAAACTTGCAATGATTAAAAGCAAGAAGCAAATGATAGATGGTAAACAAGATGAGAAAACTAAGCCTCTAGGTGTGGTCATTGATTAGGGTGCTTTGAATGCAAACTAATGATGCTAAACAACAATGAAACACTTGCTACTCTTTAGTCTAGGCTTCTTAATCAGATTAATCCACTCTCACGACAGAAATCCCTTTGCAAATCACTTAATCAAGTCTAACAACAATTAGAGATAACCAAGCAATCAACAAGCATAATGTTCCAAGCCTAATAAGTGACCAAAGAATCTCTAGCAAAGAAAGACCGAATTTTATACAGAAAGATATAGCAAGCAATCACATGATCTCAAAACCAATTAACTTAGAACTCTAAACTAGATTAATCCTCTTATGAAGGCATTAACCTCTACACTCATCCATTTTAAAACCAAATTCTCATTTGTGAAATATGAATCAATGAGCATTAAGAAATAGTTCTAATATGTCATTTATGCATTTAACAAATATCATCATGGCATTAAGGCATAAACCCTTAGTTAGCTTTCATTCAGGCATTTCATCAAACACTTTTGGTGCATGAAAAACCCAGATTCTAGACCCAAGTGATGTGCAAGGATCTAGCATTAGGATCAGCTAACTAAGGAAAGGAGAAGAGAATCTAAGCCTAAACAATCATTAATCTACATCTAAGCACCCTAAATCTACACACCTAGATGCTTAAAGAAAGACTACTCACTAATCATGTTTAACTCTCCTAAACCTTTGTAAGTAGATTAGTTAAGCATGATTAGAGATTAGAAATGGAGATGGAAAGATATAGGATGATCGATTTAAGCTTTAAACACAAAGTACTCTCTTGATTCAAACCCAGAAAATGAAGATCTCTCTTACAAAGTTTAGGTCTTTCAGAA